GGAGGAGTTCTGCGGGCATGTGGCCCAGCACCTCCAGCGGCACCTCCCCGGCGAGCAGCAGGACGAGGTGGATCCTCTCGGTAAGGAGCCCGCGGCCTCCGCCGCTCCTCAGCCCTCCGGGGTCTGGCGCTGTGGGAGGAGCTTCCCCGCCGCGGGGCTGGGGCCTCCCGGGACAAGCCGGGGCGTTTCTCTGCCCGTGGGGACCTGAGCTTCCTTTGGGGAGCTCCCCCCCTCACGGCCCGTGTGCCCCCCGTTTGTGTTGCAGAGGAGTACACGTGCCTGTGGCAGGAGGGTGGGTTCTGCTCCCCGGAGAGCTCAGCCGACCTCGTCCGCCACGTCTATTTCCACTGCTACCACACCAAGCTGAAGCAGTGGGGGCTGCGGGCCCTGCAGGGCCAGTCGGACCTGAGCCACTGCCAGCTGGACTTCCAGAGCCGAAATATCATCCCTGAGATCCAGGAGAACTTCCTGTGCCTGTGGGAGTACTGCGAGGTGAGCTGGGTTCACCCTCCTGTGTGTTGTCTGGGGTGGGGCAGCCAGGGGGAGGGAAGCTGCTCCTGTGCTGCACGCCAGGCTGTGAGCTGGGTTTGTGCAAGCATCTGTTGGGCTCTGCCTGGGGCTGGCTCACACTGGTCCCTTCACCCTGTTCCCTCTGTCCTTGCTCCCCTGCAGAGATCATTTGATAATCCTGAGTGGTTCTATCGACACGTGGAGGACCACAGCTTCTGTTCGGAGTACAAGGCAGCAGGGAAGGAGAACCATGTGGTGCTCTGTGGCTGGAAAGGTCAGTGGGCACGTGGAAGGTGTCTCTGGAGAGCTTTGCACGGGGGTGAGATGTACAGGAGAGCTCAGCAGGGCTTTGGAGAGCCTCGTGAACCTCTGTGAGATACGTGTGCATGCTCCTGGCAGTGTTGCTGTAGAATTTCCTTCATGGAATTAAAGTTATATTGAACTGTATAACTTTAAATTTAATGAGTAGCTAAAAGAAAAGGGCCCAGATGGTTTATTTTTCTGTGATTTCTTTCTCCTGTGTTAGTGGGGTTGCCTTAGCTGCTTGCAGTGCTGGGGGGGGGCCCGCACTACTGATCTCATCCTGGGCTCTTTGGAGCAGGCAGTTAATCCTTGCTAGCCAGAAAAGAAGCAAGAATCCTGTCGTTCCATCAGGTCGTGGATCGTGGGTGACGGGTGAGAGCTCTCAGGGGTGTTCTGTCTCTGCCCAGACTGTGACTGCACCTTCAAGGGGCGCTGCAAGCTGCGGGAGCACCTGCGCAGCCACACGCAGGAGAAGGTGGTGGCCTGCCCGACCTGTGGGGGCATGTTTGCCAACAACACCAAGTTCTTCGACCACATCCGCCGTCAGACCGCCCTGGACCGTGAGCTCTTTCCTTCCAGACTCATCCCTGATCCATCTCCCTCGCAGGCTCAGGCTGCTGCAGCCAGAGCTGTTCCTCCTGGGGGGACCCGGGGCTGGCGGTGGAGGGGGCAGCTGGGCACCTGCAGCAGCACTGGGGTTTGCATGTTGGGTTCTCCTGCGTGGGGCTGGTGCCCTGGGGGGGTTGCTCCCCAGTTCCTGCACGAGGAGGGTGGGTGTGCAAAGAGGGGGCAGATTGGTCTTTGCAGGCGTGGGTGGGGTTTTGGTTGGGCTGCTGTCTCTGCCGTGAGAGGAGGGTTGTTATCTCCACTGTAACTCCCTCTTTTTCCCACTTGCTGCTCGTTGTGCTGCTCTCTCTGCTCTGATCTCTCTCCTCACCCCCCCGCTCCCCTTTCTCCCTGGCCCTGGTGCTGCAGAGCAGAGGTTTCAGTGTTCTCACTGCTCCAAGAGGTTTGCCACAGAGAGGTTGCTCCGGGACCACATGAGGAACCACGGTGAGTGAAGGCCCCTTCTCCTAGCAGAGTCTCTGCAGAGTCTGTGCTCTCCCTTGCTCTCAGGTGACATTTCCCCCCCCGTTGTGTTGCACAGTGAACCATTACAAGTGCCCCCTGTGTGACATGACCTGTCCCCTGCCCTCCTCCCTGCGTAACCACATCCGATTCCGGCACAGCGAGGAGCGCCCGTTCAAGTGTGACTACTGTGACTACAGGTGAGGAGCAGGGCTTTCCACCCACCCGGGCTGGTGGCAGGGCAGCACCCAGAGGCCCGTGTGGGTCTGTGCTACGCCGTGTTCAGCTTCGTTCCCTTGTCATTTCCTCTTAGCTGCAAGAACCTCATCGACCTGAGGAAGCACCTGGACACGCACAGCAAGGAGCCGGCCTATCGCTGCGAGTTTGAGGCCTGCAGCTTCACTGCACGTTCCCTCTGCTCCATCAAGCTGCACTACCGAAAGGTCCACGAGGTGGGAAGGGAGCAGGGGGCTTATCTGCTGTGTGCTCTGTCCCGTTGAGGCTGAGAACTAAGTGCAGCATGTACAGAGGCGTGAGGGAAAAAGCTAGAGTGATGGGGAGTGCCCGAGGCTGAGCAGGACGATAGGAGTGTGAGGGTTAGGTTGTGTTCCTCTCTCACTTCTGCAGTGATGTGCCACGTCAGCCTCCTCAGAGAAGCTGATTCCTCCTTCTGTGCACTCGTGTGGGGATCAGGCTCATCATGTCTCCCTCTCTCTGCCCTTTAGGGTGACTCGGAGCCCAGGTACAAGTGCCACGTCTGTGACAAGTGTTTCACACGTGGAAACAACCTCACTGTGCACCTCAGGAAGAAACACCAGTTCAAATGGCCCTCGGGGCACCCTCGCTTCAGGTACTGCCAACCCTTTGCTCCTCACTACCTCCTCCAGTGCAAGAGGCAGCTCAAGCAGAGACCTGGCAGTGCTTGGGCTCTGGTGTTTGGCTGTAACTTGCTCAGGGCCCCTGTCCCAGTGACATTTCTGAGCTTGGCAGGAGCCAGGTCCAGGTGTCCCACTCTGGAGAGAGCTGCTGCAGGTCAATCTCCTGACTGATGCCTCTGCTGCATCTTCTTTAGGACACTCCAGAGCATTTCTGGATCCTAAAAGCTGGGAAGGGAGGAGGATAGACATCAAATGCTCTCAGTGAAAAGAGTAGTGGAAGGAGGTGGGCTTGGGAGAGATGGCAGAAAGCTCAGAAGCTGCCACGTGGGTGTGGGGTAGGGAGTGAAGGGGTTTTAGCTTCCTTGGTGGGTATCATCTGTGCAGCACTGGGTGTTGGAACCTAGGATATAATGCCCCTTCCTTGGCTGCTGCTCTGGGCTGTGACCTGTCTGTTGGGAAGGGGCTGCAGTGGGAGTGGCTCCTCAGCCCAGCCCCTCTCTGCCCAGGTACAAGGAGCACGAGGATGGCTACATGAGGCTGCAGCTGGTGCGGTACGAGAGCGTGGAGCTGACAGAGCAGCTGCTCAAGGACAGAGAGAAGAGAGGGGAGGCACTGGATGGCTCAGCTGAGGGCGTGGTGCTGCCTGGGGGCGAGGGCAACCTGCAGGGCATCGTGCTGGAGGCCCCGGCAGAGCCTCCCCTGGTGGAGAACAGTCTGGCTGAGCAGACCCTGGCCCCTTGCTCTGGTGACAGCCCCCAGCCTGCACAGCCAGGGACCTTCCCAGGAGCAGCACAGTCACCCGGGCAAGGACCTGGCACCCCTGGGAACCCCATCATCCGTGTGGTGAACAGGACCAACGAGCACGGGGAGAGCGAGACCGTGTACTACGTCCTGGCCAGCTCCTCCTCCTCCTCCTCAGAGCAGGGGGCAGCACCCACAGGGCTGGCCGTGGAGCTGGAAGAGAATGTCATGGACCGCCTGCAGAAGACAGCTGAGGAGCTGGGCATCCAGATCGTGTGAGGAGCTCACCTGCCTCTCCCCACAGAGGAAAACTGGGGCCTCCCTGGGGTGTGCTGGTGAAGATGGGGAAGGGCCTGGGGGTGAGGACTGAGCTTGTCTTCACTGGCCTGCCTGCAGCTGGCTAACCTCCCCCTCTGCTGCCCCAGCCTCCCTGCTCAGCATGGGGAGAGGGGAAGGGCAGCTCTCTCTGTTGTGGGTCAAGTGATCTGAGCTGGAAGGAGCTGTCCCCTCCTTTTGGGGATTAGGGACTGGAAATCCTCTCCTACCCTTCCAGGAGGTTTGGCTTTAGCCTGACAGAGGCCTTCCCCTCTTGGTCACTCACAGGTGGTGTGGTCCCTGCTGCTGTGTGGCAGAGTGGGCAGCCCTTGCTGATCCTGGTCCTCAGCTAGGATCTCCCCAGGCAGGATGGTGTCCTGAGCTACTGAAACCTCTTCCCTGGGGAGCTGTGTGGCCCTTAGCAGGCCTGTTCTCCCCCATCCATACTTTGTTCTCCAAGGGATGTCACACTGTTTCTGCCTTCATCAGCACTTCCATGCATCTTTCCTGGGTCGTTTGGCTGGTGCTGTTGGTGTTTGCACCAGTGCTCCCATTACACTGTCTCTAGGAAGAGAGGGGCTGGAGGTGCTGTCCTTGGCAGGCTACTGCTGCTTTGCAGCACTGGGGGATTGGAAACTTCTTGCTGCTTTTGTCCTTTGCTGAGTTTCCTCCCCACATTGGGGCTTGGGCCTCCTGGTTGGGCAAAATGTACTTGGGCAAGACCAATAAAAGTCAGACTGCCAGGCCTGACAGCGTGGTGTCCTTCCAGCCCCATCCCTGCCAGCTGTGCCAGGCTGTGGGGAGAGGCTGAGACCGAGCTGGGGGGGTGCTGAAGAGCTGCCAGGGGCTCCTGAGCTGCTCCTGAGCCCTGTGAGCTGCCCCTCGGTGCAGCTGGAGCTGCCTTGGAGAGTGTGTTGTGAGTGTGTTGTTCCCTGTCGCCAGAGGTGGCACTGGCAGGCCAGCTCTAGCTCTGACCCTCTTGTTCCCTGCTGCTTCCTTCAGGGTGGGAATGTCAGCTGCCTGCAATGACATTTTGGTTTTTTTAATACAGAGAGTGGCCTGGGCTTGTGAGCAGAGCCAGCTTGCCCTTTGGTGAGTGCTTTGAACGGGGACAGTGTGAAGCTGGTGTCTCAGGAGTGACACTTGGGCCCTCACCACCCTGTGTGAGGCACCCTGCTGATCTCCCAGGCTGGGTGCTGGCTCTTCTCTCTTCTTCTCTCAAGCAGAAGCTGTTGGAATTCCAGGTTGATGGAGGAAATCACTTGATGCTAAACCCTCAACCCTCTGCTGGCTTTCTAATCCCAAGCACTGTGGGTGTGGTTGGTGGCTGTGCCCTTGGGGTGGTGTGATGGGAGCAGCCCCTTAGGCCCGTGCCCTGGGTGCTGGGCAGCGTGCTCTGCAGTCTCCATGCAGAGAAGGTGGCTCAGGAGATGGGAGGGAGTGGGCAGAGCTGCCCTGCTGCAGGCTCTGGGAAGGTATCCTGGGGCTGCCTGCTCTGGGGAGCCAGCCCAACCTTCCCTGCCTCTGCCTGGTGCTTGGCAGAGCTGGGCCAAGGAGACCTTCGAGAGAAGGGCCCTGTGCCAGGGCTGCACTCGCAGCACTTCTGCTTGGCCCTCTTTCCAAGACAGCCCTCGGGGCCCTGCTGCCAAAGCCACGGCTGTGCCTGCATCAGCTCAGACCCCAGCACGGGGCTTTGGGAACAGAGGCAGAGCTGGGAGGAGTTGTGCTTTTAAACTGAGCCTGGGGAGGGTAATCTGCCCGAGATAATCGCTGGGAAGAGGATTGGCTTTAAAGGGAATGTCTCCTCCCTTCCCTCGTGTCCTACAGCGTCCCTTGGCCTGTGTGCATGGAGACCAAGTGCACCTCTTGGGCAAGCAGTGAAGGGGCCTTTGATTTGAGGGGCAAGGGGAGGAGGGCAGAGGGTGCTATGGCACTGGGCCTCCTCTTCCTCGCCGTGCTGGCCACGCTGGTCTCCTGTGAGGACCCAGAAGGTAACAGGGTGCCTGGGGGAAGAGGAGCTTCCAGGGGCTCACACGTGTGCTAGCACCTGGCTGGATGGGTCACCCCAGCAGGGAGCAAGACTTTGGTCATGTCCCTGTGCCAAGGTTTGGCACAGCAGGGGCCAGGGGTGGGCTGAGAGGAGCCTTCACTGGGTTGGTACCACCTTCCTGCAGGTCTCTGAGGGCTGGGGAGCTGGTGGGAAGGGTGGTGCTCAGCCCCCAGCCCCACTCTGCCTCGCTCCCTGTGGCACCAGGAGACCCGGACACTTACTGGTCTGGCACAGCCCCCATCTGTCTGGGGGGCTGCAAGGGGAAGCACAAGGAGCTGAAGAGGAGCCAGTGTGGGAACGGCAGCTGCTGCTGGCTGGGCTACAAGTCCTTCTGCAGAGGTACAGGCAGAGGGGGGCAGTGCTGTGGGGGGGCCCGGGGGTGGCTGCAGGGCTGGGCACAGGATTTGTGCCACGTGGAGCATCTCCATCTCACGGGCCGTGAGGGGATACAGACCTGGGGGAACCCCCAGATCCTGCCCAGGATCCAAAACCTCCCTGGTGCATTGCCTTGGGCTGCTGTCCCCAGTGCACTGTGGGCGGCCAGAGGCAGACTCCAGCTCGGTGGTGCACGGCAACGACTGGTGGGTGGGCTCCGTGGTGCGGTACCGCTGCCAGCCCGGCTTCCTGCTCCAGGGGGACCCCTCCAGGGCCTGCCAGCCCGACGGCC